GGCCACTCAAGAAGGAAGGAGAGCCAACGTGGGCAAAAGCAGAGCCCCACACCCCCAGGGCAGGAGCGGCCCCTGGGCAAGATCTTTCAGATCTACAAGGGCAACTTCACAGGGTCTGTGGAACCAGACCCCCTTGCCCCCACCCCCAGAAACCCACCCCAGGGTTCCTCCTTCTTGCCGCGGCCCCAGACAGCGGTCCTCACCACAGCGCCCAGCAGCACATCATGGGCATCACCCACCACCCCCGTGGCGCCTGCAGAGAACAAGCCAAGCCTGAGCAGAACAGACCCAGGGGATGGTCTCCCCTTCACCAGCCAAGGAGGGGGACTGAACACCACAGCAGCCTCCGGTGCCCCTTCCAGCCCACAGCCTGCCCCAGTGCCTTCTCAGCGCCCCCGTGGTGACCCACCGGGTGGCCCCAGCCTCAGTAACTCCTGGCTTGCTGACACCGCAGGTACCAGACCTTGGTCTGCCAGCTCTGGGGTCTTCACAGCCACCCGCGGGCCCACCCAGGCTGCCTTTGATGCCAGTGTCTCAGCCCCTTCCAGGGGGCTTCCTCAGGGAGCATCCACAACCCCACAGACCCCAGCCCGCCCCCCTGTTTACCGCACGGAGGAGGAGGCTGCAGCCACCTCCCCCGTGACCAGCAGAGCACCCAGTCCTCTCTCCACAGTGGTGTCCACGGCCACAGGGAACTTCCTCAACCGCCTAGTTCCCGCCGGGACCTGGAAGCCGGGAGCAGCAGGCAACATCTCCCACGTGGCTGAGGGGGACAAACCCCAGCACAGAGCCACCATCTGCCTGAGCAAGATGGATATCATCTGGGTGATCCTGGCCATCAGCGTGCCCATCTCCTCCTGTTGTAAGTGCTCTGCCTTCCCCCCGCCACCCCTCGCCCTCTCCCGCCTCACCTTGCTCACTCGCAAAACTGGGGTCCACTGGGCCCCAGAACTGGGCAGTCTCCACCCAGGGCTCTGCAAAACCTCCCAGCATCCCAGGAAACAGGGTCACAGGCAAGACCCTAGGGCATCCGTGCCTCTGTGTCTGCTGACCACAGAGCCTCGGCCCCCCAGGAGCTGGGGCCAGCCTTGGGGGCAGTCTAACCCACCCTGCATCTTGCAGAAAGGAGCACCCAACTGGAGAGGTGAGGTGGCTGTGGCCCCAGAGGCTGCGGTCCCCAGAGCTGGTAAGCAGCGGAGCTGGGATGGTGAGGGGTCAGAGCGCCTGTCGTCTTCACTGCCACCCCTTCTCACGGATTGTCCCCATAAATGCCAACACCAGGACTCCACAGGGCAACTGGGCTCTTCCATGTGTATAGACTCGAGGTGGCAAAGCCTTGACCTTCCGCTCCTCCTCCTCTCCCTTCTCCCCTTTTCTTTTCTCTCCCCCCCAACCCCCAAGAAAGAAAAAGGAGGAAATGGAACTTTTATCTGGCGAGGTCTGCTGGCCCTGGCGACAAACGTCATTCTTGTCACTGAAGTTAGACTTGAGTGCTATCTGTGAACATCATGCTCACCTGATGTTCCTGTTGAGCTGCTCATGGGTGGGGAAGCTGGATTCCGTGTGGCCCTCTGAGGTGGCCAGCACCCAGGGAGAAGACCTCTTCCAAAGCCACAAGGCCCCTCATGCTGCTGCCTGGCATGTTGGCCCCGGGTCAGGAGGCTGCCTCCCTGGGACTCGGTAAAGAATGGGCCTCACCTCACAGGACACCAGGCGTTCTTTATGTCTTTCCCACATACTGGGGGCTGGATTCTTAGAATTTCTCAGAATGGTTGTCCAGCTGCCCCCTGACCGCTCCCCAGGATGAGAAGACCCCCGCCCTCCCTCTCTGCGCAGCACATGCTCTTTGGCCTTTCGGGTTATGATCCCACAATTTCAGGAGATTGAACTATACTCCCTTGTCATTGCTACTCCACGGCCCTAAGCCTTACCCTTAAACCACGCCACTCAGCAGTGCACACGCGCGTACACACACACACACACACACACACACACACACACACACCAACAAACCAGATGGCTCCCAGGAACATGCTTCTCTTTCTACAAACTCGCACACACGTCTTCCTCAAGAGGACTATGCCTCTGTCTCTTGGCCCAGCGGTGGAGCCCGGGCTTGTTATCAGCTCTGTTCGTCTTCCTCACTTCCCTGTCTCCCCGTTTTAGCCCCCATCTCAAGAGGAACAAAAATCCCAAGGCTTTTCACAGGGGAGACTATTGGGCTGGGCCCCCCACACACCCCCACCCTGCAGCCTGTCTCATGCTGTGGGCTGTTTGCAGGGGGTGCTGGAAGGTTCTGCATGTAGCATGAATCATGGTTTCCACTCGGCAATGTACTCCAACAAGACCGCTTATAGTCTGAGTCTGAGTCTTTCCTGGGCGGCCAGCCTTCTTCCAGTGGACGAGCAAAGCAAACCGTGCCCGGCAGTAGTGGGGCACCTACTGCTGTCAGGAACCGTGCGGGGAGTCAGAGGCACCCGCCAGCAGGTTGTGTAGTATTTGCCTCATTCTTCTTTGATTGCTTCCTTATTCACCACTAAGAAATTTCATTTTAAAATGTGCCACAGTGCGTGGCTGTATCCATACTGGTTTTCATAAATGTACACACACACACACACACACACACGAAGTACATATGCCGTTGGCTAAAGAGCTGCCCCAAAGAGAAACGTGAATGTGAGCGTTTATACTTCTTTTGACAGTGTTATGTATGTGTTTGAATTGCGGATTCAGCTGTATTCTGATGGCTGACAGTATCAATGGCTAGAGAACCACGCATTTCACTAGTGTGCCTGGGCTTGTGCATTTCAATACTAGAAGATTCTGTAGCATGGTTCACCGAAAAGTGAATCGTTTGTTTCATTCCCTGAGTATTCGCTTCATTCTTCATTGAGCAGCGGTTTTGTCTCTGGCGAGGACACACGTGGGTTCTGACCACTGTGACCCCCACTCTGAAAACAGGATGGTGCTCAGAAAATGCAGAGCCATTCATCAGTCAGTCCTTGACCACGGCCACATCTCAGAAGGGACCCCACCCAGAGCGGCTTTTTCCATTCCTTACACGTGTCCAGGATGCTTCCGCTTGGAATCTCATCCTCCCATCCCTGATGCAGACTAGCCAGAGGAGGAAAGTAAGAGCAGACATCAGCAAACTGATCACCTGAGGTGCCTCTGGCTGCCCCCTCCCCCATTCCGGGGCACAGTAAGTCTCCAGGTGCTGTGGCTGCCCGGTTCCCCGCCACACGATGGGCAGCCTGAGCTGCTGGTAGAATCCGTGTGCTTCCAGGAAGCTTTCCCCAAGTGCTCGTCCTGTGCCAGGCACGAGGGAGTCAGAGGCATGCGGTCTGCCTCTCTCCCCAACTCCCAGAGCCCTCTCCACCACCAGGCACCCCTCACTGAGTAGGCCAACGCCACACCCACTTGGGTTCTGCAGTTCTAAGAAGACTCCCTCCTCTCCCCCAGCCCTCCTGCTATGTGTGAGTTCGCAGTTAGGTCAGATCTGGCTGCAAAGCTGGAAAGCCAGCCTACAGGCTGCCTAAAAATGCCAGCCAGGATGGGGCAGGTGCTAAGGATATAACGGAGTCCTTTGTGAAAGAAGATAAGGACGTGTGCTCAACATGGACTCCAGATAGCCCCTCGGAATCTCCGGCCCGACGCCCTTTTGCGCCTGTCTCACCTTTCCTCCAGTCGCCAGGGACACTCCCATAAGCTTCTCCACTCCTCGCTTCTACAGGGTCCCTGCCCAGCCCTGCCTGCTTCTTTCTACACATGGCTCCCTGTCCCCGGCTGTGGCCCGTGGCTCCTGTGGGGTCATTGTCATCTCAGAAGGACACGGATAGAGGAATCCTTGTCCACCTTCAGAATCTAAGGTGGCCAGCCAGGCTGTTTCCGCAATCCAGTCCTCCCTCCACTCACCAGGCCAGCAGACCCCTGCCAAGGCCCCATCTCTCAGACCTTCCCAGCTGGCGCCTCCGTGTGTCCGTCTGTCCTTACAGCCACAACTCCTTGCCAGTTTGCCTGCCGTTTCTGGAAGCCTGTCTCAGGCTCGGCAGACGGAAACTCCAGAGCCCCGGGCAGCCCTTCTGGCACGTAGGTGTGGCTGCGAAATAAAACTGAAACTGAACCAGAAATTAAGCATATTATTCAAATAATGATGATTTCATTATATGCATATATATAATGAAATCACTATATATATATACACACAAATATAATGAAATCACTATATATATATGGCTCTTGAATGATTTTCAAATTGATGTGAGGAACAGGATTGGCTCTTCCATCCCAATAGTTTGCCGACCCCTGGTCTATCTGCCCTGGTAACGTAGGTTTCCTCACCTCTGCCTGTTCAGACCACACTGGCCACAGTCCTGTTTCTCTGCACCCACCAGAAGCCAGAGTCCAGGGGCCCAGGGGGACACAGCACACTCCAGGCCTGCCCATGGAGGATGTCAGCAGTCCCACCTCAGGCTGGAAGGCTGTGTGTGTCTCCAGGCCTGAGAAATGCTTTGCCTCTTAAGCCATGCCGGTGTTTACATTCACACTGGTTTCTAGAAGTGCTCAGATAGGTGGGGGGTCGGGGGGTGGGGGGGGCAGTGGATCAGTGGCTCCTGAGCTGGTCTCTGCTGCCACCATCAGGAGGTACAGCACCACCATCCTGCTGGAGGCCCCTCTGCCTGGTGCCACCAGTGTCGCCAGCCCCTCCTATGTGTGGCACATCCATGCAGGAGAATACCTTCACTCAGGCCCCTGCGAAGCCAAGAGAGGGAGAGAGAGAGCTGAAAGCTATGCCAACTGCAGGTATTTGTTGGGGCCGAGTAGCGCCTCCTGCTGATCTGTCGTGTGAGGGTCTGGGAATACACCCTGCCCTGGAGCCGGGAGTAAATGCATCAATGCCCACAGAGTACCCAAGAGATACCTTCTCAGTATGCCAGTGAGGCCCTTGGTTAGGTGGTTAGTTGTGAATGGTTGTCAGATTTGAATATACATCTTTTTACTCATAGCCCCCCCCCCAAATGATTTTATATATATGATCTAAGAAATTCTGGGTCAGAATTATTCTTGACGGGCAGGCTTGTCTCCAAGGAGCTTGTGAGCCCATGAGAGGAGGAGCCTCAGTATAGGAGGACAGCCGGGATGTCATCGTGGCCAGTCTAGTGCCACGCCCACCCTCCCACAGCTCTTCTGTGTGCGTCCCAGCCCGGCCCCTGTGGCAGCCGCTGGGCCTTCTGCAGGCTCATTCCCAGCACCACCGTGGGGAGTCAGACAGTAGGTGCTCTCCCACCCCTAGCTACTGTCCCACCAGGTCCCCTTCCACTGCCTCAGGCAGGGGTGGGAGACCATCCCCTGCCCAGGGCCATTTGCATATTTAGATCATCATGCACAGGCCCGACTGGGCAAACATGCCATTCGCTCGCCCATAATTCTAATAGCTGGAACTGCTCTCTGGGATCTGTGGGATGTCAGCGGGTGTTGGTGATTTCTCAGCGGCTGTTCTCCACTCCTGCCCGACGACATCCCCATGGCTGCCTGTGCCCCTCAGCTTCGGGAGAGCGGGGGTCCCCGCATATTGGAACCATTAGACTAATCCTTTCCCTTCTCTGGCCTCAGGGTGCTCTCTGCAAAACAAAGGGATCCGTGGCCCTAACTTTTTAAACTTTAAATCTATGGGAGCCACTGAAGAGGGGGCAGGGTGTCATAGAAAGGCCCGGCTTGAGGAATAAAGCCACACACCTGCGTGCAACCCCAGCACTGCCACTCATGAGCACGCTACTGAACTTGAGCTAGTGTTTTCTCAGACAGGACCAACATCCGCTGTCTTCCTTCAGGCCCCTTGAGAAGCAGGCACCGAGGTGGGAA